TTGTAACAGCAGCATATAATTTTCCTGCACAATAATTTTTTTCCAGTTGAAAGGTATCCTATAATATTATCAGCATCAACAGGAACAGACACCTGATTTTCAGCTAGACAAAGCTTATGCATTTGGTGACTCCAATCCCTGCAAAAAACATTTTCAAATACAGAGCAGCTACAAGAAAATTTGAAAAAAATCTGACAAATCATTCTCTGACGCCAAAGTGCCCCCCCCGCCCCCCATATCCTGGTTTTGTTACATTAAGTTTACCTCCTGTTAATCTCACACACACTCAGCACTGGAATATAAGCACTGACCTTCTTAAAAGCTGTATGGATTCCTTGAAAAGTATAGAGCACAAAACCTGTTTATCCATTTAAGACATCTTCGTGTTGAAACTACTCTGTGTATGTAACTGTGGATAAAAAGGCAGTATGTGGCCAGCAGGTCAAGGGAGGGGATTCTCCCCTCTGCTCTGCTCTCATGAGAGCCCAACTGGAGTGCTGCATCCCCACCATCAGAAGGATATAGACTGGTTGGAGCGAGTCCAGAGGAGACCACAGAGATGCTCCGCGGGCTGGAGCACCTCTGCTCTGGGGACAGGCTGGGAGAGTTGGGCTTGTTCAGCCTGGAGAAGAGAAGGCTCCGGGGAGACCTTATAGCACCTTCCAGTGCCTGAAGGGGCTACAAGGAAGCTGAGGGGGACTTTTTACAAGGGCCTGTAGTGACAGGACAAGGGGTAATGGGTTTAAATTGAAAGTGGGGAGGTTTAGATTGGATATCAGGAAGAAGTTCTTCCTGGAGAGGGTGGGGAGGCACTGGCACAGGTTGCCCAGAGAAGCTGTGGATGCCCCATCCCTGGAAGTGTCCAAGGCCAGGCTGGATGAGGCTTGGAGCAACCTGGTCTAGTGGAAGGTGTCCCTGCCCATGGCAGGGGGGTTGGAACTGGATGGTCTTTAAGGTCCTTTCCAACCCAAACCAGTCTATGATTCTAAACCCCAAATACCTGCAAACCATCAGCATGTTCCAAAGACATGATTAAACACCAAACTCCTACTACTCAGACAAAACATTAATTTCTCAAAATTTGTTGTTACAATAATAAAGTATCAAAATGATTCAGCTTTCACAGTCACATAAGTGCACAAGAAATAAAAAAAATAAAGTTACTATAAATAAATTGCAAGGAATTATTATAAATATGAACTTTTATTTAAATACTTAAAAGGTGAGGAAAAAAGGCAATTTAGAAAATATATCACTAGTTTTACAGTAAACAGCACAGGTTTGGCCTATCAAGTGAACACTACTCTTAAAGACAGAATTGACATTATCTGTAGTAAAATAATTCATTTAAGCTTATGTTGTGATGTGACCAAATAAAAAACTAAGTACAGCAAAGAAAAAGATGGCAAAACAGTAAGTAAGTGTATTCACTCTAGTAGGGTGCATATGTACAGTTTCATTTATTATGGGTTATTAACCTTTTCCATCATCAACCTGTTTAAATTGACAAAAACAAGTTATATTTTAAAAGTTAATCAGTTTTAGGCTAATTTGCCCTTATGAAATCACTCTTACAAACCTACAATTCAAGCAGTTTTAAGTGCGTACTACTTTGTATTAAGGTCAATCCCGAGATCTAACTGCAAATATAGTTATCTTTTGGATGACATATGGCAAGATCTCCAACTCTTTTTAGCTTTGGAAATTTGCATCTGCCTGTTCAGTCAGGATGCTAAGCATACATGTGTTGACAAATACAGAAAATAGCAGATGGCAAAAAGCAAATGTTCAGCATGAAGCACTGGGGATCATCTGAAGAAGGCTTGGACTCAGACATTTGCCATTTTTATTTTAACAGCAGAATTATGTTTAAAAATAAATTCCACCACCTATTATGCTTGATGCTAGTGAACATTTGTGATCAGAATATTCATAATTATGGAATGTCTGTCTAGTCGCAATTGGTATCCAAGATGCAAGTTGCTTTCTGAACTTTTGGATTTTAACAGAAGTAGCACAGTACGATTCTCCAAGAGGCTAACGTCTGCTGCTACTCATAAACCAGAAAACTTTCAGTGCTGACCATATAACTGGTCATGAAATCTTTTAACGAGCAATACATGGCTGCACTCATCTGCTATTCCAGCTTCTAAATTGGAGCTACTCTGGTAATTCACTGCTACAACAGTACATTAAAACACCTGCGTGTAAACCTCTTCTCAGCCCACACCACTACTACTACTTGTACCACCACCATCTTCAAAGAACCCAAATGAGCGCTGTCAGTTAGAGGTGTGAAGCTACCAAGAGCTCCAAGTACAAGCTTTACTCGGGGACCAAGGGAGTTACTTCACACGGATAGGGAAAACAGGCAAGAGGAGAGGTGCATCCAGTGCTACACGTTTTACTAACAGTGAACTGTGGATGCCTAGGGAATACTATCAGGATAGGACAAACATACAGCAACACCTCCCTTATATATTCCACCAACGTTCAGAAGTCCACAGCTCATGGATTTCAGAATTAGAGTGTTTTTCGTGTTAACATGCCAAGGTAGACTCTTCTTTCACAAACATCTAACAACTTCTTCAACCACAGAACCCCTTGGACTCCACACCATCTGTGGCAAGGACTCCCACACTCTCTATGCACTGTAGGAACGCCTTTTAGTGAACATACACACTGTAGTCTCCAGTCAATCCTACAGCCAATGAGTTTTTAAGGGGCATTAAAATAGTCATTGTTTTATTACCACTAGACTTTCACAGACCTTAGACTGGCTGTGCTAGATGTTGTATTAGTAAGCAGACAAACAAGTAGAGTCTTTAACAGCTCAGCGAAGAGATGAATAGAGACAGGACATATGGTAACAACAACCGACAAACAGCAGATCTGCCTTGGAGAAAACACCTACAAGTAAACATCAGTGTGGCTTTTTATTCAGAAAGAAGAGATCCAGCACTGAGAGGAAAAGAATACTCAGCCAAACAGCAAAAGGAAAAAACAAACAAACAAACCATATCTTCATTTTCTCTAATATTTCTCACTGACTTCTCAAATAATGAGTACTAACCATTTAGTTTGGAGATGCACAGATTCTAAAGAAAAGCTTCAATATTAAAATAATTTCTTCATCTTCTAAAACTACAGACAGTTATAGCTGCAAAACAGACAGCTGTAAACCCCAACAATTCTCACTCCATACACTTCAAAATAATTACATGGAAGTACAGTACTGTAATGCAAAGGGTCAGTTTCACTTTAAAACATCATATAGGAAAGGCACTATGTAGTTCCAGTTCTGTGGCAAAGAGCTCTGAACAATACTTTACGTGTGATTTTAATGCCATTATTATACATCGATTCATAGCTAAAGAAATACATGAATTCTATTGCTTCCATTGCAGTATTCAGTCTGAATTAGCTCCCTCTCTGAACAAGTGTTCTACACTCTGGTCCCCCTGTTGTTTTCATTAAGGACAAACAGATAATCATGAATGTTTTATTCTCATTTTACTAGTAATTCGGTAAAACAAAATACATTAGGAGGTCCAACACAGCTATGTCTGTTAAGAGTGGAACTTAGAAGAATCATTTTTTCTAATGTTTAACAGTGAGGACAGCAGGACTTATGTTGTCTACCTGCACGCAAACTTCCTGTAAAGTGTTGAAACTTAAGACTAAGTACACAGATCAGTTTCAGACAAAGAAATCAGCTAGCAGAAAGTGCTGAGAACTAGTAGATGTACAGCATGGCTGCTTAGAGAATTCAACTAAAGAGCGTCAAAAGGTGTAAATTTGGAATGTATTTCATACTGGGGAAATGATATTTAAAACACTTTTCACTGGGGCTAGAAATAGATGATAACAATAAAATTTAAAAACCACCCACCCAAACAACCAAAACCACTCCACCTCAAACTAAAAAAGAGCCCAACCCATGAATTAATTCCAACTCTAACAAAACTCAGTCTCCCATTGAATTCCCTTTACCTCACTTAAAAATCTCAACTTCTTATCATGTTCATCTGACACCTCAAACCAAGCAAAATCAGCCATGCACGCACTCCCTAATACCCTGCCCATACTTGACAGTCTAGCGAGCAGCTACCTACGGGAATATTTTATGAACTGAGTTCTGCCCACCTTCTTCCTTCTTCTCTACCAGGTTGCCAGTTTTCCAGAAACTTAGGAATCTCATTATCTTGGGACTTCTGTTTGTCTACCAAGTTTGGTAGAAAACTGTCAACGGTATCAAAAATAAACACCACATTTTCCTCAGAAAGCTAAGCCAAAGCATATTTTGAGGAAAACCCCCCTGAATTCAGGGAAAAAAGTAAAACAGAAGAACAGAGTACAGCTCTGAGATTCTTATACACGTGTAGCACGACTACAGGAAAAAACAAGGGAATTCAGAGTACATCAAGCCTTAAACATGACCAAAAACATGACTCCACGAAACAGCACCAGAAACCCTCAAATAAAGCCTAAATTGATATTAACATATTTTCCTGCTGTACATTTTCTATTCTATTACTGCAGAATGTCAGGATGAACTTGTTGCTCTTCTCATCTGGCCTTTATATATTCAAGGGTTGCACCCAGCACCCTGTAACTGCACAGGACAGTAAATACCACAAGCACCTATTAGCATGTTCCATGCCTGTGAGCTACAATGACCTTTTTTGAGTTGTACGCCTGATTATCAAGCGCCTGATGAACAAGTGTTTGGCTTAGTTCCTTCATGTTTTGCAAAGCTGGGAGACACCAGTGTTTTGGAACCAGAACACCACAACCCTTCTTTGAAAATACAGTAGTAACTCATCCACTCCCAGCTGTTTATTTCAGACTTCAACCAGCCTCAGTGAGCTGATATTATACACTTACTCTGATTAATCATGTTTCTACAAAACAAATGTAAAAACAAAACCTGCGATTACTAGCTCACTGGTTTGAAAAACTTCTTTGTGCACAATCTTAAATAACAAAAACATACTTACTAATAAAGCAAGTTTTTGGTACTTCCGTTTTAGTTCTGCTGGACTATCGGATGGCTGCGCACCCAGGATTTTGTACCAGTCCTTTCGCGTTACCCTTTCGAAGGCCATAGTCTGACCCTGAAATTACTGTCTTAGCACTGTGTAAGAAAATTAAAATAAATACAGTTACACTTTGAAAGAGAAACAGTTTAAAAAGGCAAAAATGAGGATGTGCGACAAAACACAGGATCCTGAAAAGGACTGCAGCCCTCAAGCACATCTACACCCCTGCATGAGATCCATAGTGAAAAAAAACCAGCTTAATTCACATTCCATGCCACAGACTGTCATATGTGAAGTCACTTAAGTTACGCTGCGTTTCCTGTCCCAGCTCCTTAGTATACCATGCTTCAGAAGCCGTCCATACACCTCTAAAATCAATTTGCATTTTAACTGCCTGAACTATTTTGAACCTACCCACATTATACATACACATTATACATAAACACTTTTTAAAAAATACACTTTTTGGTTTGAAACAATACCTTACCCAATATATGAAAAAAAAAAAAAAAAGAGACACTCAGAAGTGTGACATTTTGCCAATTCTGGAATGAGATACACGCAAAAAGACAAATAGTTACGGCTCGGGTTTTACACAGTGACATCCACAGTATGGACCATCCTTCATCCTGCTGGGTAAGCAGGCTTAACTTTTTTAATGTGAACAGTAGAATATACACAAACAAACAAGAACAAAAGCATATACAGTGAGCGCAGGTCCCCAAGTAAAACCGAACGAGTTGGGTGCTTTATATTTTTAGCCATCTATGGCCAAGCCAATGACCCAGAACGAAAAAAATAAACCCGAGAGTTGAATGCCAGTAACAGCACAGTAACACTTGAGCTTCAAGCAGATTCGAAGCTATTCCAAGCTTGTAGTAGCCGATTCATCATGAGCTTTGTGATGAGAAATAACAGTTGCCCAGTAGGAAAGAGCTCTAAGTTCCCAAGTTTCCTAAGTCTATTTTTTATTGTTAAAAGGAAGAAAACAGAATTATTTTTAGCACTAAAACCGCTTTCTGGTGGCTGTCATCACACTTCAGAACAAACCATTTTTTCACGGGAGAAAACCCCGTGTTTTTCTAACTCGGCAGAGCTACAACCAGAGCGAGCGCACACCCCGCTGCAGGGTGGTCCCCCTCTTCCCCCTCTGAGGAAGCACCACGCAGGTACCCGCCCCTCCACATCCTTCTCCACGAAGACCCCTTTCCCTCAGGGAGCCCACAGCGGTTCCTGTAACCACGCCAAAAC